TACTATCGCCCACTTGTACCGCCGCTTTAGTGACGTGCGAATTGTTTTGAGGATTTGCATGAGGTGTGATGGTGGTGTTTCTAGTTGTATGAATTGATATATATGTTAAGCTAGAGTGTACTTGCCTCTCGCTCTCTCTCCCGTAATTATGTGTTTTAATCTCCATCTTTATGATCACAAATATGATGGTGGACTGTGCAACTCTCGACTCTAACACACTGGGCACATACTCACACAGCGAACATTCAAGTCACATCAAAGTGCTTACATTTTTGTATCTTTCCACCCGTCCACCCACAAACTCTTATATTGCACATGTCACATGGTGTGATTAAAGATAAGAATTTTCGTCGATGAAAGCAAATGCTCTATTTCCCACTTAATTTAAACTATTGAAACAGCTTGCAGTCCTTGAAGACTACAAAAAATAATACAGCTGTCCTATATCACCAAGGAAGTTAGTAATCAAACTAATAGATTTGCAAGAGGTTCTTACAGCAGTTTTGAAGTTTCAACGAAATATAGCAGGTCGTTTGTCGTCAAACGTAAACATTTTGCAGTCGTAAACTAAGTACATTGTACAGTTTATTAATCCTATCATGAAAAAAAAATCCGTTATTGAGCTGGGTACGCTAGATTTAGCGCTATGCATGGGTTACTTAGCCTTCGTGTTGCTTGAATGATCCTTTTGCATCTTTGTGAGAGAAGCACGCACGTGAAAAGGCACATTTTACGCGTCTGCATGATCAAGCTATAATGGACAGAAGGTCGAAAGCCTTTTTCAATCATTAGACGTGAGTACAATAAACCGTATTTGAGGTACCATAAACTATTGCGCTAGCTAGTGGCCTCAATTGACCCTTGCTTTTTATGGCATTGGGCTCGATTTTATGTGTGTTGGATTCGCGTCAGGGTATCTCTCAGCAATCGCCTTGTTGTAGGACACGAACAAGGCGATACCATATTGTATCGCCCCTTCGAGACCACGTTTAATGTACAATATGTGACCACGTTACCATATTTTACAATATGGTATGTACCATATTGTGTTACCATATTGTAACGTGGTCTCGAAGGGGCTTAGGGGTGCTCTTAATATCAATTTTTGCAGTGCTAGAGCGGACGATGTAATAAGTCCGTCTAGCGTACGCCAACAGAAAGATCGCGCGAGTTATTGTAATCCTAATGTGAATCTCTCGCGTTGTCAGAATTTTCACTTTATGCAATACTTCACCAGAGTAAGTGTACTTATCTCAATTCACTGAAAGTTCTCAAAGTTAGGAACATGAGCACAGTGTCTAATCAACACTTTAAAGGAGGGAGCAGAGTGATTGTAATTATTAAAATCAAGTAGTGCGTAAAATTCCTAAACATGAGACAATTCCACATCACTGAATCGATGTTTCTCCAACAGTTATGATCATGGTAGGTTTTTTATATAATGAGGGACCGAGTTCCAAAGTTCCCCCAAAAACACGACACTGTTTCTATATAAATATTTTATATATATTCAAGTACAAGAACTCAGAACAAAAGCACCAACAGAAGATGTCAATGTAGCCACAGGCCTTCTAGTTAATAAAATTTAACTCCGAAAATTATGGAACCCGAGGTCCCACAATTCATCAAGAATTGCAACTCACTATAGAATTGTAGCACCACAGCAGCTCTAGCAAGTACAAAATCACATTATAACAGATTCGGAACTCGGTTTTGGATTCTCGGAACTCAGAAATTATTGTTCGATTTATCAAGCTAGTTCAGCCTCTGCTTTTTCTTTCGTCCATTGTGTTTTTGCCGTTTCAAGTGTTCTTGCTCAAGCTGGCGAAGACGATCGAGTGCGGCCACTGCAGTGGATCTTCTAGACTGATCGTCCTCCATTAGCAGCTCCAAAAATTCTGTCCTCTCTCTTCCTGTGTCATACCAGCTCCCATACACAACATCTCCGCAAGTTTGGATCAACCGCCCAACAGACCATATGTCCACAGCAGTGGTGTGATTACCATCGCTGAAGATCTCGGGGGCGTGTTCGGCTTGACTCAGGTGGTTGCCGCTCGGTGAAGCCTGTGGGCTTCGCGCGGCGTCCATGAAATCTATCAGGAACCACATATTATCGACATCGCGACTCTTAATAACATTCGACCATCGAATATCTCGATGCATCCACGAAGCAGCATGCAATTTAACCAATGCTTGCAACACATTTGCGAGCGCGTGAAATAATTCCACAAAATTTGCTGGTCTTTTTTCTTGGCCACGTGGTTTGTATATCAATCGCTGGTCTGCATGGTCCAGACGATCGACGTTCGGTATCGCGTGCTCTTCCAACACCTTATAGACCGCTTCAACATGGTCCTTTGCTCGGTGAGATAGCGCTCCTGGAAAACACTTGACAACACATGATGGTTCGAGTAATACTCTGACTCCAAGATCACGAAACAGCTATTTGTACTCATCTCAAGCGCTTTCTGGACACACACTGGCAAGGCTCCGTAACAATCGTGCGACGTTCAGAATTGCCAGCAGCAAACGAAATCGTCCTTCCAAATGTTTTAGATCATATACTCCCAACTCAATTGCGTCCACGTCATCGTGCACAAGAGTCATAGCATACAATCTGGCTTCATAGCCAACGGCAGCGTATCCGAACAAATACGGTGCGTCACCGTAGCTCCAAACAAGCTTCTCAAATAACTCGCGTCGAGGTGTCTCCATCTGCTCTCCAGGGGCCTCCTCCATACCTCGAAACACGCACACCGAATTGACAATGAAAAGAAAATCTGGCCAATTTGATCCTGTTGATGCTGATCGTATTGAATTCCGGTCGCTCTTACCGATGTCGTGCAGCACGAAGTTCAAAACATTGCGAATCAAATCGTCCCAAAACGAGATGAACGACTCCACACTGTCACCAGGATCCGTAGCATACACAATTCGGCTTCCAATCCGGAACAGGAAGTTCACACACTGCTTCAAGTTGTCAATTTTAAACAACTTCGCCATTATCTCAGGAGATTCGGAGGTCATCTTGGCGAGCCAGGTGTCATAAATCTCTTGATGCAACGTGATTTTTTCCGGTAGTTCGTTTTCAATGAAATCTCCTAGCTCACCCAAACGAGGCAGCTGATGTGGTGCGAGCTGATTCTTGCGGAACTCGTTCACCCACTTGGCTGTCCAGCCTCGTTCAACCATCGTCACCCCGGTCTGATCAGAAGGAAGTGCCACCAGCACGTGAATCTCCTCGTCTCCGGGTGTGAAACTCGGCCCAAACAACTCCATTTTGTCAAGCTTCCAGGATGGACGCATTTTCATTTTTTGCTTATTGATGTCTCCTCGCAAAATATCATCCAGCTTTTCATCGTCCGTCATCCACGTGGTTTCCCCTTTCCTCGCCAAGTAGAGCGTCAACAACCGCGAGGGAACAGTGTGCTGTCCGGTGCTCAAGATGCTAGCGATCATCTCCTGAAGCGCCTCCACATCTGCATTGCGCTAGATTTTGACGGAGAAAACGCTCCCTTCGCCATACACACCGCAGCGCAGCTTCATTTCTTTCTCTTCCACATGTTCACACCCTCTTTGCTGAGAATATTCGGCAGACAGATCAGATTTAGCTAATCGTATTATACCTTTGTAATTATTTTTATTTTTGACAAATAAATTCCTCAATTTATAAAAACTCATAATATAAAGTTAAATATATAGAAATAACAGTTTGCTGAACTAGTATGTGATGACCAAGTACATTGAAGATTTTTATGGTCAGTATTGCATTCAGCGCATCAAATCTGTCGATGAATACTATCAACCCAAACTGCGAGATTCGCGCGTGTTGTCATCGGGTGATTGGATCAAGTCGAAGATCCACGCAGTTGATGATTCCATCGACTACAAACACAGTGATGATGTACTGACTTTGGCAAGGACGGATACACGTATATATTGCAATATCAATTCAATGAAGTGGATAAACCGGAGATGCTTGAAGACCAAGATTTATTTCAACAAGCAAACGTTGAACGCAGTGTGGAATACATCCTTGCAGCTAACTCTTAAGATGAGCGATTGCATAATTTATGCACGATGATTCGAAGTGATTGGTTCTGCAACAACCAAAACGTATGGAACCTTGCTGAATTTTTTGCTCGTCAACCTTATATTGATTGGTATTTGATGCGCAAGACCTATGTGCTCAGACAGAAAGGAGAGGTTTTTAACATGGAGTTTACTACCAAAAAAATTGATGGATAGTTTGATTTCAAGTGTAATCCATCACTGACCGAAGACAAGCTGAAAGGGGTTGCTGCTGGCTGTAATCCTGCTGCATACAAGAAATGGAGCCTAATAAAACTTTCACTTCGAAGACGTTTGAGCTTTCTACACTTGATCATGATTTCGAATTGACATTCATATCTGAGCGGATGTCGGCATAACAAACCCAACTCGTGGAACTTGTCGAGCATGCGTTCAGCCAATGTAATACATCATTTGAGATTGATGTATTCGAGAATTGGGCGAAAAAGCATCTAGTGATCGAGAACAAACCAAGGGGTCACTTTGATCTAAATTTCAGTGCTTCCGAGAAGATATTGAAAGCTACAAACTTCAAGTCTCTTCATTTGCTGAAACGATTTGCGCCCTACTTCATCCAAAAGCTCTATGCCCTTAAAGGATCAGATATCACCGACTACAAGCGTAAGCTAAAAGAGGACGATAATTTTGTGATCAAGGCATATGATCCAAAGTACTTCTTCAAGGTGAAAATCCAGTTCATTGAAAACAAGAAGCCACGTATCACCCTGTCTGACCTTCTCAATATTTCACAAGTTTGCAAATACTGTCTGCAAATGGGAACATGATCCAGATGATATGGAGACATTCAGCTTAGCAAATCTACTGCTGGCAAAGAATCTGCACGAAGAAATTACCAAATCTGACTTGCACCCAGTACCAGTCGATTACTTGAAGCGTACTATTTGTTTCAACCACCCTGAGGTACCAGTAGTTGACGGAATATACTGGTAGCCTTTGTCACTATCCAGACATCAAAACAAGATATACCCGTGACGTATTTAATGGAGAAGCAGATTGGCAAGTCGAAGTTCTTCAAGCTCCTTACTGGTCTTCTGGAAATAGCAAATACTCACATGACTCAGCATCTCACCAATGACCTTGGAGAGCATGGAACTCCACAACTTTGACATAAAATGTGCTGGTTTGAAGAAATTGCTGGTTATAAGCGCTTTTCTAATTGATTGAAGCAAATGAAGTGAGCTATCACGGATTCCCTGAAATTTAGTCGAAAACTATACAATGAAGAAGAAATACATGTGAATTTATTAGTCCTTCCAACAACTAGATTGGCATTGTCGACGACGAAATGACAATGTTCGATGCAAATTCGGCGGACAGCACAACAAGATCTATTATGACAGGCTGATTGGGAAAGTAATTAAGAGTGAGAACGAGATGAACAAATTCTGCACATATTTGAAGCAGTTTACCAATTCCAAGCCAAAATCCTTCTTCCGAACGTCTATCTATGATTCTAAGACAGCTGTAGCAATGAAGGCATTGTAAACTATGTCAATGAACGTAAGGAATCGGGTCTTAATGGATTCGTACACACTGAATCGCAAAGCCAATATCGCGTGGAGAGAGAGCCATTATGTATCAGCACTATTAAAGGTGGTGTGAGGTAGCAGGTGAGGTCCCCAATAATCGCTCGGAATTTCGTAAGAAGATCTTGAAGTTGGACAAGCGTATCACATTCAAGCGATACAAGAAAGTGGAGCCACTCCTTATTGATTCTTCTTTCCTATCGACTTGAATTAGCATCTCGAAGTAACAATACGGCGATTGCGTCGAGGTTGAGCCATGCCGACGATCTTTTTGGTTTAGGTGACATCGTCCACTCAAGCACTGCATAAATTGATATCTTTAGTACCCCTAAACCCTTTTAGAGATCATGTTCATGTGCCCATGCAGATACACGTATATAGTGTATCATATGTACTAAACAAGTTCCACTAAACTCCCTAAATACTATATAGTATTTAGTAGGGGTCAAGGGGTACTCGGTCTTCTTTTATCCGAGCGAGGTTTTAGTATATGAATTGAACAAAGTTTTTTTTCTTGGTCGTTCTCTCGACAAATGGCGACAACACTTGACGGAGAGAGCAAATCCGAAGATGCTAGTTTGCCAGTTGAGGTAATCCAACGTGTTGTGAAGAAGCAACGCACTACGAATACTGTCGCGCAAGATAGTTCTGCCAATACTGTTTCTGCAGAAGCAACATCGTCTGGCTGCAGAAAGAAATAATTCATTCGTGTTGAAGATGTGGCGAAAGTGAAATCGCAACTAGACTGCATATGGAACGATGCTCCAGAAAATGCTCCATTCGTTGATAACGATGGAGATCCTGCATGGGGACCAGTTGTGTTGTGCGATAGAATTACATGGAAAGACTTCGACCAGTGGTTAGATGTTTTTGAAGGAGATGTGCGACGATGGATATTTGAACATGTACCTGGAGATGATGAGTGTGGAAGAGTGATCATTTACAGCCTTCCATCCGATCCGCATGAGGCTACTGCTGGAAACATTATGCAAAGCATCATCGAAGAAATTCAAACTGCAGGCAACAGCATTGGCCTGATTCGCTCTGTTCAAGTCAAAGCATCGCCCAGATGCCAAATCGGCAGTCGACGTGGCAAAGAACCAGATATGTCTATTTCTCCTGTCGGCTTGACTATTGGAGGAAGAATTATGGATAATGGTAAAGGATTTCCTTTCCCCAATGTTGTCATCGAGGTGGCGTATAAGAATGAATCGTTGGATTTACTTCGTGGAGGACTGGATAATTGGATGCTGCCAGAGACATCTGTACAAGTTGCGATTGGCATCAAATTATTCGTCCGAACACGACGGCAACGACGATATCGAGCAATTTTAAGGGTACGGAATTCACCTAGCCAAGAAGTGGAGTTTGGTATTGATGTCTGCGAAGGGTCCATATCTCTTGCCTTTCCATTGAAACTGATTTATGAAGGCGTTCCGATGCCTCCTGCTTTGGCCGGGCTTGATAGCCCCGCAATCACTATCGATTTGATCGCATTGCGCGATTTCCTTATTGATTTACCTCTATGAAAAACATTATTGATTTACATTTCTGTTATTAAGATAGTGATCCTTCTACAATGACTAAGAGAATGAATAGACATCAAAATGGCATACGCTGATGAGACTCCATAGTGGTAACTAAATGGTAACTCATGGTGACTCAGTGGTGACTCGACATTGAGTGCGATACTCGAACGACTACCTGCGAATGTGAGTTCCGCTGGAACGCTCCAGTGTGTGACATCTTGAAAAAGTATGAACTTAAGCGAAGAAGATATAGAATATAAAAACATAACCTAGACTGTGTAACTTCATCAAGATGGACGAAGAGCAGTGTTTGCTTGCACGCAATAAAGAACGATGCGGCAAGCATCCAATTATTCTAGATGAGAAAACTATTGAGTATTATAGTAGAAGAAATGCCACCACAAGTCAATAGAAGCGATGGTAGAACACATGTATTCGATATTTGTATAAAATGATTTGTCTAGATATTTTTCACTCTCAAAGTAGTTGAGCGAATTAAAGGCTAACTTACTCGTTCAGCTCCTTGTTACGGCAAACAAACCCAACATCTGTACAATTGTTTATCAGAAGGCTTCGAGTTGCTTTTCTCTTTGTGATAAATTATGCTAACCCCGAGTACTTGGTAACGCTTGCATTCAACCCCACGATCGAGTCGCGATGTCTGCGAGGATGAGGCAAAAGGTGTTTGAGAAAATGTCTCCGCGACGAGTTAGACACACAAGGAAAGTCTTTGTCGATTGTAAGATCTGATGTGACAAGGGAACTAACGGCGGGGTAGCTAGTTGTTGTAAAAGCTCGCTAGCAGCGGCCCATCAGCTATGAAATTTTGCAGCTGAGACACCTCGACGAGTGTTTCAGCTAAGTGTTGGTGGTAAAGACAATGACACCCCTTGTTAGGTCGCTGTTGTTGAGCGTTTGGCTATCTATGAGTCATGGCATATACATTTTTTCTCTTTGGCCAAATGAGAAAAGCCATGACCGTGATTTTGGCCATGCTTGAAACAAAGCGATAGCTAATAACGCGTGTGGTTTCTGAGCTAGGAGGTTATTTGCGAAAACGTGTTTTTGTGGCAGAACCTTTATAGAAACAGTGATCACAGCATGAAAAGATTTGACTCGACATATGCCGCCGGTGTTCGCAACTCCCAACCAGTTTTATCATGCCGCCAAGGATGGACATCAGCTTACTATGTTTGGAATTCAATAGCTCCTTCACTGCGATGGTGTCAGATCTTTTCCTTTAGGTGATACAGGTCACAATTTGGTGGGATCTGTGTGTGCAATAAATGTGTTCGGCTCATATCCAGGCCTTTTGATTCCACCCGATAGAGGTGGGTATTGAATATATGCAGTGAAAAATCTCCTTGTCGTGTAGGCCAGATTGTGTCCCGTACTAAATGCATCATGAGCACGCCAGATGCGTCGACTTTAGCCGCGCTAATGAGAAAGAAGGGTATTTCTCATCTTTGAGTAAATTTCAATATTCTCATTTTAAGTCTGTGGAAACACGAAGCATCTGCGTCTTGCGTGCTCGCTTCGCTTCGATTTACAAATATCAGTAGTCAGACTCTCACGCGAGACCGTCAAGCTCTTCCCCTCAGGGAAATGTTGAGACTTCGTAGACAACAAGCAGCTTTCTGAAACAACTGGATTATTGGCGATTTTGTGGATGTCGTGGTCAATAGGGAATAACCTAAAAATGAGCAACTCCCACTAATTGGTGAAGCTCATGGCCCAGGGCTCTGGGTTGCTCACATCAACATCCCGGGATTTGTGATATCTGGAAATTTCCGATTGATTCAGGAGTGCCGTGCAATTACGTAAGACGCACGCTTTTTAAAAACAACACTCGCCATGAGAAAGCATTGTAGCTGTGGAATACGGATATGGTAACTGTACTTTTAGCGACAGGGCACTTATGAAAGTGTCGACGCTCATGCTGAACCTTCAAGTGAAGTTTGAGGAGTTTGGCAGCGGGTAAATTGTTTCGGCGTCAAAATATGGCCTCTTCCAAAGTATGATGTGGATGATAGCCATGACCCATACATCGACACGAACTCGAAGAGATTAGGTGCCACGATCATCGCTCTTGATGGAGCTTTAGTGAACAAAGAAAACGTCTGTCAGCAACCAGAGTGCTTCTAGCGCGGGATGAAGCTGCGACGACTTCTGTGCAGGACATGGAATTGTACAAATTGAAAGCAGCAGTAGTGATCGATTGCAATATTGCCAACTGTCTCTCATAGACCTTGAAAGGCAGAAGCGGCAGCGATCCGCGGTCTTAAGATTGCTTCTTAATCGCGCTCTTCGGCTGTTGTTGTTTTTATTGACACAGGAATGCATAATTGTATAACGTGGATTTAAGTGTATATTTGGGGAGACGGTAGATAGAAGATGTGAGCCGTTGTTTCTTGTGCAAGGGTCGGTGGAGAGCAGAGGCGACTGGGTGTTGGAGTCTCCAGCGCTAGATCCAGAAGAGGGAATTGGCGAGTGCAAATCGCAAGTAGAAGATCAGATATTCCTGCCAAGAAGGATGTATTATCCCAGTCATGATGTTACAGCAGGGCTCGGTTAGCACTTATGTGTGACGGGCCCATCGTGCGAAACATTGAAGTCCCATGGGAAATGGCAGTAAAGTTTATTCAATTTGAATTTTGTAACCGAGGTATCGTAAGGATTGTATGTCTATCTTCGCTGCCTTCGGCAAGAGATTTGTTAGACTCACCAAATCGAAGACACGTGAAAGGATCCGCAAGACAATAAGGTCGCTCACTTATATTGGTTATTGCTGAAAGAGAGCCTGAGCTCGTCAACCGTCGTGTACACACGCAGAGCATCCAGAGCGAATTGTGGGCAGCTGTCGTCAAAAATACTACGGTCTCACTTTGTCATTTGTCAAGGAATATCGCAAGAGATTCACCACGCGTGTTATTTCCGGCTAGGAAATTACGTCTCGAAGCTAACTTTGCTCTCCGTAGTTTATACTGTACCATACCACAGTGACTCTCGCCAAGACAACAGCGTGAACCATATGTGCAAAGCATAAGAGAGTCGTATGAGAGGAAGTCAAACGGCTGCTCGACTAAAAAGTTTTATGCCAGAAAGGCTTACAGCAAGTGGCAATTCGTGTATGCTTACAATTAGCTTCCTGCAGCCAAGGGTCCGGCGCAAATGGCGATCACTGGAAGGGTTGTGCTGAAGAAGAGCATGGTCGGTTGCACCTTGCTAGTTGTCCGTGGTCTGATTGATGTCTGGCACTTACTGCGGACAAGAGGTAGCGATATTTTTACCATTATGTTAATAACCCGAAGAAGATGATCTGGTAAAAGTTAGCTATGCCACAGCGAGAGTCTAATACACAAGCTACGTCAAATCCTGTTGTGATACAGCTCCTCAGGTTAACGTTGCAATTAAACAACGCGTAAAGAGATATAAAAGTTTATAGTTATGCAAAGCGCGGAAAATCGGACGTGGAAGAAGACGTGGAACACTTGCGGTAGTACACGAGTGTGTAAGCTAATCTACAGTATGTATGTAAGACAAGTGTGTCTTTGACGCCAACAAAGCTCTTTTTGGGCTGCTTCATTTGAGAGCGTGGCTTGCGGGCAGATACAGCAACAGCACTGACAGTTGTTATTTGGCCAGTTCCTCTTTTGACGATATCCAAACAATTAACTTGTTCTACTTATTGCGCAAATACAGTATAAATCATGGTAACATGGCATGGCACCTTGGAAAGGATGTAAGCGAGGCGGAAGATGTGACTTTCACGGCTGTGAGAGAGATCATCATGCATAAATTGATTCTTGATACTCGGAATCTGGGACAGCCATTTCATTTTGTATGTGACGCTTCAGCTTTTGGCGTAGGCTGTTGTGGACATGGTCGCGCGATCATGTCTGATTGCCTCAGATTATTGCGGCTGAGAAAAGTTATTCCTTTCACGACTAGAAGATACTTTCAACGGAGTATGTTCTTGCTACGTTCAGGATACCCCGGCTTGGCTCTTAACCATTAGTGATCCACTAATATTATGCGTCGTTGCTGTTTGCCGCCATCAAAATATCGAACAAAGAATGGCGTCATAGGATTTCTTTTTGCCGAGATATCCTTGAGGTGATGTATAAGCCGATTTGGCCTAATTTGGTAGTGGATGCGCTTTGGTGCCACTTGATGAGGTATTTCACACGGCCTACGAATCATACGCGAGCATTGTTGAACAATTAGGTAAAGAATACTGTACTGGTATGTAAACTTAACCTGTGGTCTATCGTGTGCATATTCACATGTACGCACGATTACATACATCAACGGGTTGAGTACTCTCCATATGGGACGGCTCCTTCGGCTAGTCTGTCGGCTTTGGTTGAGAATTGACAGTCCAGAACTTCTGTCTTCTGAACGATGCGTCTAGTTATTCCAGTAATGTGGTTTTTGTGGGTCGTCGGAATGAGGTGTCTTGTCTATCTCACTGCTATCAGCGACACCGCAGTTGTTGATGATGATACAACCAAGCTTTACCTCAAAACGTTTTTCACAACATGGATTCCCGGTCGGGAAAAAAACTAGGCTTTCCACTAAGATTTTGGCGAACATCGTCCAAAGTGCTTGTCACCAAAATAAACATGCCAACTGCTGACTACCCGCAACCATATGGTCAAATATTTGCCAGAATCACGTTGTGGAGATATCCTCCCAAACACCCACGCGACGATACCGCGGTGCTGAATCGAGTTGTCCCTACTCATCTACTTCTTGCTTTATAACACGGTACATGCCTTTTCAGGCCTCAGTTCGTTCTAGAGAAATGTATTAATGAACCGTCGTATGCAATTGACATTGACACTACTACGAAGTCGCTTTTGGCTCAGTGGTGGGATCTGTCGACCAAATATTTCTTGCTCATATCAGCTCGAATACACTTCCCAGCAAAATCATTATTTTTTATATGGAGATTAAGTGGCATTTGCCAGGTGCGATATGTCATAAAGCAAGAAGTCAGTGACCTGAGACATGCAAAACACACACACGAATATGTATCGAGGTAAATTGTTTACTTGAATGCACTTTGCCTACCTACACCCGTAGAGTCTGTGGTCTACAAGACTGCGCTGCAACCACGCCACATCTGACCAAGTATAATAGAGATTGAGGTATGCGCTTAACATCCGAAAGACAATGCAAATGCATCATGTTTACCTTGTTGCATTAATAAATCCATATCACAATTCCACTCTTATCAGCCATTCGGTCGTGAAGTACTCTGTAGCATCTCTAACACCACATGTAGCCTGGTTTTAATGATTTCGGTCACATAGTAACCCTTTTTTCTCTTGGCTGCTTGTTAAACTATGCGCAAAGGGTAAAAGCTCGGGAGGACATCTAGGCTAGATTTATGCTCGTGGAGTGAACGCTGAGCTGTAGGCTTAGAACGAGACAAACGGTATGTGACCCAAACGACTTTTATATACTGGTGGTGTAACGGGGTTACACGGACCCTGATAACAGGGGGGGTGTCACACGAGATGTGCATGGTGTGACCGCACCCAAACAAGAATACGGTATGTTGCTAGGTAGCCAGTAGTTATGCATGTATTTAGATTTGACTATATATATTGTATATTTAGAAAAATCTAAACTTTTAAAATTAGGATAAAAATATAAATAAAAATCAGGTGGATTTTAAAGCGAAGAGTCTATTAGCCTTGGGTTACGGCAATAATTACTCTTGGAGCAAGCGGGTTGCGATCCGCTAACTCGTACTTGTTATAAGTATAGAACGAAAGGTCGGTGACCTAAATGACGCTTCCTCAAGCGCTAAGCTACGGCAGCCCCGCTGCAGATAGGCTTAGACTCAAATTCACAGCCCACCTTCTACTACGCACTCCTCCGTGATTTAAACTCAACATATTTGCCTTAACGTATTTACAAACGTATTGGCCAGTCGTGCTGGGCCCCGATCGCTAGGCGAAGCCGCACTTCCTCGTCAGGAACTGATGAACGCATGCGCAGGAAACTAGAGCATGAATGCGCAACGGAAAAGTTATCATTCATTAATCGACCCGAAAAAATTTTTTATGTGCTGCAATCGAAAAGAACTAACTACATAAAGATTTGAAGCCAATATGTGGTTTTTCTGATTGGTGACGGCTTGTTTGTGTTGCGATCTCTGGCTTAGACCACATAACAGCTCTAAGCGTTGCTTTGAAGTTAAGGAATATGATATTTACAAACAACATAGGTGTTTAGAGTAGCATATAATGAGCAAGCAAGTAAAAGGAGAGCCAAAAAATTGCACTGGACGAGTTGGGTATCCTGTGAAAACGCGACATACATTATTCTACGAGAGCATTATGTCTGAAAAAGATGGAGTCAATATAGGTATGAAAAGCAAAATCCCAGACTAAGCAGAATCGCTGTTTAAAATTGCCATGCACTGCAAATATTTAATGCAAGTACACTCCTAGTACCGCTCACAAGACGAGACAAAGTGACACAGGTCTTCATCTAGCAGAGCGGTTCAAATATGTGAACAATCAAGTCAATGAATAATTATTGAAGGCATAACTGCTTAAGCTTGGAAAAGCGCCATAAAGATCTAGATAAAAAGAAAAGTAAGAAGCAAAAGCAAAACGCACACGCTGCGTTGAAATCGCAAAGGCAGACTACAAAATTGCAAGCTTTGACAGAGAAACGCTTTCTCATCATAAAAACTGACTTTGAAGATGCTATATGCGTTGAGAGATTTAAATCCATAAGCAGGAAACGGACCAAGACGCAGCAAGCCCATCGATCAATATTGAAGTAGCGGCGCGTAATGATAGCTGGACGAGCCAAGAATGATGACATGGCAAAATCTGATTGGGTGATAATGGAGTGAGTGCTGGATGTGATTGGATCACATC